AGGTTTGTCTCGACAAACAATTTAGGAAAATTGGAAATAATAATAATAATAATAATAATAATGCCTTGATGCTACACCAGGAACAGCTCTCATGGTTTTGGATATTCATTGATAGGAGAATGTTAAATATCTATATTTTTACAGTGATATTGACAAGCAAATACGTGGTACTGAATAGGGTATTTACTGTAGCCCCTCTAAATTCACCATCTGCACTATCACAAATCACGATGAATAGGTATTCCCTGTGGGAGACCTCATGCCTTGAGCGTCTACTGGGATATCTCAACTCAAACTTTAAGTGGAGCTCGTACATATGATCCATCATTAAAGATTCTGGAAAAATGATCGTTGCCTTGTACCGCTCCTATACCTGACTTGTTGTGTTAACAGTACTCCAATTTAGGCCTGATATGGCTCTTGTAAAGGTAGAGGATAACATATGACAACAATACTCCATTTTAGGCCTGATATGGCTCTTGTAAAGGTAGAGGATAACGTATGACAACAGTACTCCATTTTAGGCCTGATATAGCTCTTGTAAAGGTAGAGGATAACATATGACAACAATACTCCTTTTTAGCCCTGGTATGGCTCTTGTAAAGGTAGAGGATAACATATGACAACAGTACTCCATTTTAGGCCTGATATGGCTCTTGTAAAGGTAGAGGATAACATATGACAACAATACTCCATTTTAGGCCTGGTATGGCTCTTGTAAAGGTAGAGGATAACATATGACAACAATACTCCTTTTTAGGCCTGATATGGCTCTTGTAAAGGTAGAGGATAACATATGACAACAGTACTCCATTTTAGGCCTGATATGGCTCTTGTAAAGGTAGAGGATAACATATGACAACAATACTCCTTTTTAGCCCTGGTATGGCTCTTGTAAAGGTAGAGGATAACATATGACAACAATACTCCTTTTTAGCCCTGGTATGGCTCTTGTAAAGGTAGAGGATAACATATGACAACAATACTCCTTTTTAGCCCTGGTATGGCTCTTGTAAAGGTAGAGGATAACGTATGACAACAGTACTCCATTTTAGGCCTGATATGGCTCTTGTAGAGGTAGAGGATAACGTATGACAACAGTACTCCATTTTAGGCCTGATATGGCTCTTGTAAAGGTAGAGGATAACATATGACAACAGTACTCCATTTTAGGCCTGATATGGCTCTTGTAAAGGTAGAGGATAACATATGACAACAATACTCCTTTTTAGCCCTGGTATGGCTCTTGTAAAGGTAGAGGATAACGTATGACAACAGTACTCCATTTTAGGCCTGATATGGCTCTTGTAAAGGTAGAGGATAACGTATGACAACAGTACTCCATTTTAGGCCTGATATGGCTCTTGTAAATGTAGAGGATAACATATGACAACAGTACTCCATTTTAGGCCTGATATGGCTCTTGTAAATGTAGAGGATAACATATGACAACAATACTCCTTTTTAGCCCTGGTATGGCTCTTGTAAAGGTAGAGGATAACATATGACAAAAATACTCCATTTTAGGCCTGATATGGCTCTTGTAAAGTTAGAGGATAACATATGACAACAATACTCCTTTTTAGCCCTCGTATGGCTCTTGTAAAGGGAGAGGATAACATATGACAACAGTACTCCATTTTAGGCCTGATAGGGTTCTTGTAAAGGTAGAGGATGTCATAGATGGGCAGGAGCTGCCCAGTTTTAACTTTCTAGTCTTGATGGAGTCCAAAAGCGTCTTCGTGTCCTTGTAGGGGACAAATTATTTTCACCCTACAACAGATGAAACGTTGCAAGCCTCTCGTTGCTCTATCGCTATTTGATTGGAAAGTGCTCAGACGAGCTACGTTCCTTAATTCCACCAGTTCTAACTTTCACGGCTAAGACCCTCCATGCTACGCATGTAGCAAAAACAAACATTCCCTTCGCATTCTATACTGATTTGTAGAAATGGCTCCTAAGAGGATGCTTCTTTGATCACTACAATCTTAACCTGTTCAAGCCTTAGGCTTAACCGTTATCTTCCTTTCATTTGCCCATAAATTGTGCTTCTTACACTTGTAGAGAACCGTGTCGGCGATGTTGTTGAGTAGAAGTAGGAGAATACATGTGGGTTAAGATTTTCCTGCTAGCCGGTCCAACTACATGAGAAAGTTGGACTTTAATTAAGTCCAAAGAAAAACAAACACAAGACCGATAAATATATGTAAACAAATATATGTATTAATAACAAGAAAGGTTACATGGACAGAGTGTGTGTGGTGAATATTATATATGTGTGTGTGTGTATGTGTTGAGTGTTCGTACGTAAGTGTATTGTGCTTAGCGTGTTCCCAGCATTTGGGAAACGCTGTATCTGTGAGCGTTCACATCTGCGAGGTGGTATAAGGCCGAAGCCTGAGGAAAAGAGGAAGAGGCGAAGGGTCAGCGAGTATTTATAGCCAGGGAAAAGAGAGACCGCTGGTGAAAGGGTGAAGGAGCTAAGGAGGAGCTAACTCCGACACACTCTTCACTGGCTGCCCGGGTTTTGTACATGGTGATTCTCACTGTAAAAAAAAAGAACCTTGCGAAATGAGGAATTATCAATTATTATATCTATTAGAATGAGTGTCTTCATTTTGGTTGTTGAAGTCATTCAGATTTGGTTATTTTCCGAGATCAGGAATTATCAATTATTATCCGCTGATCTATTCGAACGAGTGTTTTCATCTTGATTGTTATAACCACAATATCCTGGCTATTTCCGAGATTAGAAATTATTCGTTGATCTATTTGAATGACTAACCTTAGTTGTTATAGTCATAATATTTTAGTTGTTTTAGAGATGATTAATTATTATTATTATTATTATACATTGATCTATTAAAACTAGTCTCCTCTTCTTGCTTATTTCAGTTAAGGTGAAAAAGTTTTAATTACTAGGCTTAATTTAGTATAACACTCAGTCGCAAGTAAAAAGCACTCAGTAAGTATTGAACTTACTACAGGTGCAAACGTCTGTGGAAATAACTTGCAAACTATTGCTCTCTAACAAAGCAGTTAAGGAATATTTAACAAACTTTTCTTAATAAGTCGTAAGGTCACGAGTAGAGGTTAAACTCATTACATAAATGAATTGATTTGTGAGATAAGCTCGTAAACAGTTAAGTTATGGTAGGCACCCAAGAAGAATACGGAGGTTAAAAACATTTGTTTGGCTCTTAACAGTTCGATTAAATTCAGCAGAAATCAGTTTACAAGCCAAAATTGAAAACTATAAAACGTCCAATAACGAAAAGCAATTTGCGTTTAATTGAGACGGATCAGAAACACAAGAGACGCACACACGCTGATCCTTGTATAGAGTACTGTAGTTGCCAAAATGTTATGTCTTACGGTCATCCAGCTTTTATTTGACTCTCTGAAATTAGGAATTATCATTAATACATTGACCTACTTGGACTAATGTCCCCATCTTGGTTGTTATAACCACAATGGTTCAGTAATTTAGAAGAGGAGGAATTATCATTAATATACGCTTGAATATTTGGTCTGATTTCTCCATCTTAGTTGTTATAGTTACAACGTTTTAGTGATTTAGATGAGAAGTAATTTACATTAGTGTATATGAACTAATGTTCTTACCATGATTGCTAGAGTAACAATGTTTCGGCCATTTTAACCTCTATCCTTCTTCAGTTGTCTGTCATATTCGGTAAGCTTCTATGAATTTCAAAGGCAAATCTTTTATTTAAATACACGACAGTAGGTTGTTGTCATTTTCTTGCCTATTTGTAAAATATCAAGTGAGACACAGGAAATTACTAAGTAACTTCACAGACTGAGTAGATTTGTTTAATGCAGTAGGAAAATATTCAAGACAGATCATCGAAACTAGTTTATTGTATTATTTACCTATACGTATAGTAAGCATTTGGATATGCGACTACAGTAACTGTTAGCGACTCATAAAGAGAAATAGGTGGACTGAGTTCAAATTCCGGTCGAGTTATTTGCATTCACTTTCACACAAATGCCTTTGGAAAGGGCGTGAATAAATTTCTTCTCTCCCAGTTATAGATTAAGTATCAAGGCTAACTGGGTTTTCTTGCCTCGAGGTTTGCAAGGAAAATACAGAATTCAAAATCAACCTGAAAAGTGATACGCTACCTTGCTCTAGACACACCACTGTTGTTATAGCTGCAGTACACATGGTGCATCTACAATCCTAATGAGTTATGGGAGTCGTACGTGAACGCGTGCTCCAGAAGATGTCTGACTCCTCCTGCCACATTGTGGATTTTTAAATCAGACCAGATATTGAGTATTGTTGCCGAATATGGGATGTAACTGCTCATTCCTCTCTTTCAAGAATTGACAGGGTTCAAAAGAGTTTGTTCGGCCTTGTGGGTGATGAATTATTTTTTTTTACCCAATAACCCCGTTCTTACAAAAGAAACGTTGCTAAGCTCTCGTTCTTCTATCTTTATTTTCATGACATGTTCGGGAGAACTACATTCCTTGGTTCCACCAAACCACAGCTAGGATCCTATTCAGACTGCTTCTTCACTAGAACTGTTGCATTGTGTAACGGGCTTCTAAAAGAATGCTTCCCAGATCATTACAACCTTAACCTCTTCGTCATAATATCCACCTCTTGCTCTATCCCTTTACGCTCTTACAACTACATTTAGCAAACTTCTACCTACCTTGAGTAGCTCTTGGGCCTCCTTATAGTGGGTGAAAAATAGTTAAAAAAAGTGTTTACTTCAAAAGCAGAACGCATATAGGTTTCATTGTTACAGTAATAAATATTATCAAAAACTTCAATAATTAAATGTATATAATAATTATAAAAGAAACTCCAGCAGGAAACCTACAGCCTTGGGACCTTACTCTCATCATCCTACGTCGCTTGTATGCAACACGTGAATCTCTGGCTCAAATGTTTAGGCACATGCTGGCGATTCGTTAAAACTTCACAAGCACTAATCTGTGCTATTCCCTGTGGCCCACAAACGATGAAATCTAAATCTTTGTTCGTGAAGTTAAACAGCACTTACCAAACAATACTTATGAGTCGTGATGATGGTGTAGGAAATACATCAGACTGGGGCAGGAAAAGTTCCTAGTAATCTCATTTTTAAAGACTAACACTCATATTTATCTTTCTTTCTTTCCCCATTTCCTTTCTTACTCCCTCTTCACATCTTTCTTTCTTTCTTTCTTTCTTTCTTTCTTTCTCCTCACATTTTTCTTTCTTTCTTTCTTTCTTTCATTCTTTCTCCTCGCATTTTTCTTTCTTTCTTTCTTTCTTCTCACATTTTTCTTTCTTTCTTTCTTTCTTCTCGCATTTTTCTTTCTTTCTTTCTTTCTTTCTTTCTCCTCACATTTTTCTTACTTTCTTTCTTTCTTTCTTTCTTTCTTTCTTTCTTTCTTTCTTTCTTTCTTTCTTTCTTTCTTTCTTTCTTTCTTTCTCTTTTTTTCTTTCTTTCTTTCTTTCTTTCTTTCTTTCTTTCTTTCTTTCTTCTCACATTTTTCTTTCTTTCTTTCTTCTCGTATTTTTCTTTCTTTGTTTCTTTCTTTCTTTCTTTCTTTCTTTTGTAACATTTATTGTTATCATTTCCTCTCTTAATTTCACTCACATTTTTCTTTCTTTTTTTGCTTTTTTGTTTCTTTCTTTTTCATTTCTCCTCTTAATCTCCCGTCACATTTTCTTTCTTTCTTTCTTTCTTTCTTTCTTTCTTTCTTTCTTTCTTTCTTTTTGTCATCATCTCGTCTCTTACTTTGCCCTCACATTTTTTTCTTTCTTTGTAAACCCACATCTCATGGCCTCAAAAAGCTATAACGGATAAATCAGGATGGCTAATGGAGAAAGGAATGAGATGTTAAAATAAACTTTGTATCCACTGGTAAAATTTATCTCAGTGGGCTTCTATGTTTCGCTTTCCGCGTTTTCAGTTACCCACGATCAGATTCAGAAATCATTTGTAAGCTTTATTTAATAACTTTCCCAAAGAACAAGCGCCTTGGTGGGGGTAATTCAGATACACAAAACAGCCTTTTTAAGTGAAAGGAAGAAAAGAATTGCATACTAAAGTTGCATATATATATATATATAAGTTATGAACGAATCTTATATCCCTCAAATAACTTGTATTAATATATATATATATATATATATATATATATATATATATATATATATATATATATATATATAGTTATAGTTTATAAAACTAGACACATGATACTCCTATCAACTCAAGCACGACTACAACTGAAAAAAAGACTTATCTAAACTTGTTATAAAATTTGTTACATCTATTTCTAAAACAATAAGATATTTAATTAGTCCTAAACAAAATAATAAAAACCTAAAAGTCACTTACTCTATAAACTGTAATGAATGTCACAGGAAATACAGAGGTGAGACTTTTAGGAATTTTAAATAAAAGAATAAATGAACACAAAAAGGTATTTACAGAATAACATACACGGTGCATTAGTTGTTCATCGTAATGAATATGACCCTACTTTCAATTTAAATAATCCAGTTTTAATTACCAGAATGTAACTTACTAATGCGAAAATGCATAGGAAGTTCATTGTGAAACTTCCATGGTAAATTTGCGTTCACGTTCATAGCACATTTCATCTTTCTTAACAAATCAACTGCTATCATAATGTAGAATATTTAAAAACTGCAGCGATAGAAACAAAAACGTTTGAAAACTGAATGAACTTGGCCAAGCTGTAAAGCTTAGACACCAAAAATTAAAAATTTTAAAATGTATAATTTAGCGTCCCTAAATCTTCAGCTAATTATAAAAACCGACGTTTTTGCTTATATTTTTGTCCCTTCCCTCTCGATATATATTATTTCGTCAATAAGAACATTATTTTAATCTGAAGTCCTCTTGAAGGCCGAAACATGTTAGAGAGAATTTTTTTTTATTTTGTCATTCAATTACCCACTAAGATATATTGTCATTAATTGTTCTATTTTACCATTAAAAATTGTTGTCTATTTACAAGTCGCATTTATAAATTAAATTTTTATCAGAAAACAATGTATATACGTTTTAATACTATTTGCTGTTTCATGCATCTGCTGTGGTTTTGGAATATCTTTAGCGGATAAAGTGGGGACTACTGTATGTGCAGTTCTGTTGAAAATCTTTGTTGAATTAGAATATTCCAAATAAATCCCGAAGTTACACAAGTGAAAAGCAAAACAAATAATTAAACTCCAGATTTAGAATGGATATACCAATTTTAGCGCATGTGTGGCAACGAAAGATGAATTTAATTACTCCACAAGCCTCTCTTCCCAACAAGATGGCACTTTTCCAAAAAGTGGCTCCATTTTAAGATGGTCGAATATGGTGTGCAAGAAAGCGTTCCAACGATAACGGGACGGAGATTTGACCGCTCAGTATGCAGGACCAGCGGGGGTGAATTGGAGAGTTAGTATAATGTATTGGGAAAGTAATGGTAGTGAAAGAAAGGGAGTATACAGTTTCACGAGAATCTCGCCACTCAGCCCATTCTCTCTTTTTCTCCCCTCGCCACAGTCTTTATTCCAGTTTCCTTCTTTTTTTATTCAATCCTTTCTTTTCACTCTACGTTCTTTTTCCACTTCTCCCTTTTTTATTCTTGCCTCTAACTTTTTCTTTCTTTTAATTTTATTATACCTTTAACTTTTTTCTCTTTTTCTCTTCATACCTTTCTTCTTCCTTTTTTCTCTTTCCTTTCACTTAACTTCTTTCTTTCTTTCTTTTTCCTTTCACTTCACTTCTTCTCTTCTTTTTTCTCTTTATAGTTGTTCCCTTTAATTTTTAAAATTTCTCTCCTCAATTTTCCACAGTGAGTCAATATTTCACTTTCCTTCCCTATCTATCTATCTATCTATCTATCTATCTATCTGATCCCGTTATCAGGATCATTCTCTGAGTTGTCCTCGCTATTGTTCCCATTATATATCTTGTTTTTTTTCCTCTCTTTCTCCTTTTTTATCATTCCACTTTCTTGCTTCCTCACTCAAACTTTGTTTGTTTCTTTTCCATTAGCTTGACTTTTCTTTCTCTCTCTTTCTTCCTTTTTATACACCCTCGCCTCTCCCTTCTCACTGCTCATACATTTTCCCTTTTTTCTATTCTTTTGCCTAACTTCATCAAAACCATGAAATCTGCCAAAGCAGACCAGGAATCAGTTTGGCCGGATATAGACGATCAGAAATTCTAGATAGACATCAATCATTGGGTAAGGTCGCCAAACCCTTGACCCTTCAGAGCTCAGGAGGACTAAATAGAGCAACGCCGGATGCTTTAGAGAGGAGGGTGCTGCATCACGGTGGGTGGGAGATTTGAGCGGGTGATGAGACAGGATATGGATGGTACGGGACTTGATGTGGTTGGTTACAAACGTGGCATTGGCGGGATGTAGTGATGCGTCCTACTATATTAAGCAAAAAAGTCAAAAATGGGGAAAATATATTGAATAAAAAAGCGGATACTAAAATAATAGCGATTGTTTCTGCTTATCAAGAGAAAATAACACGTCTACACAATCAAAGCAAGAACAACCGAATCTAAAAAGATTGCGGTGATAGGCGAAATGAAAACGATAATGTCATTGGCGGGAAAATATCGGGAGAAAAAGAAAGTGTTTTTTGACGATTAAAAAAAAAACACTGAGATAGAAAAATACGAAAACAGCAGGGTCAGAAAGAGAGGAAAATTTAATGAAAAGTTGATATAGACACAAACAAATAGAGAGTAGGGGAGGAAATGATGACAAAAAGAAAAAAAAAGAAATAGCGAGACAGAAAGAAAGATAGAGAGAAATACAGAAAGTAAGAGTTAGAGAAAAACGGCAATTTGAGATAAAAAAAAGGAAAAAGAAATAGATCTAGAGAGAGAGAGAGGGGGGGGCATTGTGTGAGTGGATATAAAGAAGACAGAATAAATTAATAAAAAGAAAGAAAAGCAAAGAAAAAAAATGTAAAATGGATAAAAAGAGTCGGTGAAAAAAAAGAAAGAAAAGATGCAAAATGGGTAGAAAGGCAGTATATAGAAAAGAAAGAAAGAAAGAAAGAAAGAAAGAAAGAAACAACGAACCAAACAAAGAGAAATACAGAAAAAAAAAAGACAGAGAAAAGTGTTTGGAGCCAGGGAAGAGTTTAGAAAAGGTCATCTTTGAGATGACCGAAATGAGTTTTGTTAGTAATGGCTTGAGTATAGGGAATTGAAGCTGATAAGGTCTAGCAAGAGTCTTCGGGTGTGGTTGAAAGTGGGGAGAAGAGTAAAGAATTTGAGAAAATGTTGTCGAACGACCTGACGACTTTGGCTGACAGTTATTTGTAATAGCATAATTGGCATTCGATATCAATAAAGCCGGGAATGATCAGTAGAGGGACCGAGGGGTGGAGGAAGAGGGCACTTAAATATCAAATGCCATGAACTAATTGATTGATTGATTCTTTCTTTGTGTATATGAGTAAGTGAATCTTTCGCTTTCTGTGTGTATCGCTATAAAGACATATCTTTGCATGCTTTGAGCCATCTCCTTATTCACACACACACACACACACATACATATAAATTTGTCCTTCTCGGTTGGACTGAAAATTTTTAGACCCACTTGTACACACACACACGCACACACACACACACACACATATATATATATATATATATATATATATATATATATATATATATATATATAAAATTGCAAATAGATGAAATTTAAAAATAGCCCATCTGAATAGCCATTTCGGTTCACAAGAGGTTGTCAACACTAAAAAGTTATATAAAATAAAATAAATATGAAGCCTACTGTTATATATATATATATATATATATATATATATATATATATATATATATATATATATATTTGTTTGTTTTTTTCATACCCTGCCTGGTGGCAAACGCTACTGGTGGCGCCTGGGGTGGCGGTCCCGCCATAGCCACTGAAACTGTGAGATCACCCCTGGTCGGCGGCTGATGAAGACAGGGTATCGCACATGCTAACACACGTTGTATGTTAAAAATATATATATATATATATATATATATATATATATATATATATATATATATTATTAGTAGACCATCTTTCTTGGTTTGGCTGAAAAACTTTTAATATCCACTTGTACATGCATACACATCTCTCTCTCTCTCTCTGTCTGCTACATATATATATATATATATATATATATATATATATATATATATATACTGAGTGTAACAGCATGGGATAATTGTCCAAATTTTAAATTTAATTTATTTTTTAAATATACATTTTTTCTAGCCGATTTCATTTAGTAGATTCTTTTTTTTATGTTTCCACCACTTTTGTTATTAAATATCACACTTTGTGTTATCAGAGATCTGTCAAGAATGGCAAAGCGTTATTTACAGTGGATGATCCAGCGATTAAACCATTTGCTAAACATTTCTGTCTCAGTAAATTGTTTTATCATTTAATTAGAGTAGCATTTTTTGTCAGTTTCATTACAATGAGAAACTAATGCATAGCATATGTTATTTTGTGAAAGGTCCTTTTTGTGTTTATATAATCATTGATTTAAATTCCTTAACGTTTATCCAATGTATCCTGTAGGGATATTATTATTATTATTATAAAGAAATAAAAATAAAATATAAAATAATAATAATAAGGAAAATTATAAATAAAATAAAATAAAACAATAACATTTAAACTTTGTTTAAAATAAATTAAATAAAAAATAAAAATGATAAAAATACTCCCAGCATGCAGCAAAAACTGTTCCAGTCAGAAATATGGAAATCCCACCAAAAGATGTTAAATTCAATCTCTTCACCATGAATCTTGATACAGGCAACACGTCTCCAACTTCTCTCTGTGATATGATGTGTAATAATATCTTCTCCTTTCATTACATGAAACTATTATAACCTAAAAAATACACACAAAAAATATAAATAAATTGTTGGAAATTAACATACAATTTACCATCCTATCCTGTCCTTTCTGGACATTTAATTTCTTATCAAGTATACAAGGCTAATTTCTGTCACTCTGATGTGAATGAACCCATAATCCCTTAGGACAATTATTGCAAGTAATAGATTAAATTACTCCTTCATATTTTAGCTTTCTGTTTCATTTTGTATTAATTAAATCATTTATTTTTTTTAGACAAATTTTATATTGAGTTAAGATAAATTCTTTTCAATTCTAGTTGTGGTAGTGTTGGTGGATAGAACAATATATTTTGGCTTCACAGGAAGTACTGCTTTTCGATTTTTAAATATTTTATGAGTATTTTGTTTCACATTGATTGTGAAAAAATTAGGGTATCAGAGGAGTTCAAGAGCATTTCAGTGTATTTCTCCTCTTCATGTAAATACTGAAAGCTACAAATTCTGAGTGCTCTTAAATAGAATCCAATGATTATTCTGGATTTTATTTTGTTGTTATGATGAGAGTAGAAATTTATTTTCTAGTTTGTCATACATTTTGCTCTAACATATATATATATATATATATATATATATATATTTTTTTTTTTTTTTGAACAATAAAAAAATATTAAAAAATTAAAATCTTTAGACACACTGGGTTGTAGATTAATATTCTTTCGTTTTTTATTATTATTTCATTTAGATTCCTCGACTAGTTTCGACCAAAATGGCCATCACCGGGAGGAGAAATATTACTGCTTGCTGGTAGCAGTAAACTACAGAAATGAATCTTTTTGCTGGAGAAAATGAACTTTTATCTGTAGTTTTTATTTGTTTTTTTTTTTTTATTTTAGATTTTAATTTTTAATATTTTTATTAATATATATATATATATATATATATATATATATATATATATATATATATATATATATATATATATAATAATAATAATAAAAAGGCTTAAACACTAATATTCCATGGTCATAATTTATTCCAAAAAACAACTCCGGGAATAAAAAATAAAATTTAGTGAGAGTGTATGTATGAGAGTGTGGGACGAATGTTAGAGTAAATGAAAGTTATAGGGAGGGGTAACAGACAAGAGAAAAACAGGGAAGGTTTAAAGATGGAGGGGGGATTATCAATATATTGCTCTTTACATATATATATATATATATATATATATATATATATATATATATATATATATATATTTCCCACACTCTCTCAATATGAGATCAGTATATTTAACATAAATTTATCCTTAATTTTTAAACCTGGATAATTATTGCTCTGTCTCTAACATAGAGCTCTCACTGGATCTATATCCTCTTGAAAATTCCATACGGATTATGATTATATCTCTATCTATAAAAGGCAGGATGTGTTTGTGTGTGTAACGAAGGGACAACCGCAATTTTTGATGGATTTGCACCAAAATTTACATGCATATGCTCCAAGATATTGGGAAGGCCAAGACCGACTTTGCATTTCCCAACTCCCATCGATAGTGGAAATAATCGATTTTTTCATGCTTCTACGGCAGTTTTCATGTAGTTTGCAGCCATTTTCTACTGGTCAGAGTGAGAGCCTATAGCTGGCTGCCATGAATAGGCAGGAAGATTCTACTGGCCAGCATGAGAGCCAACAGCTGATTGACATGAATGTTAACTAACATGCTAGCATGCAAAAATAATCGATAGCTGCATTCGTCAGAAGTGGGAAAAATTTAAATCTGCATGGCACTTTACTCCAATTGGCTCATTCGCTTGCTTAAACTCAACATTGATTCTGATTCCACAGAACTGGGTTGGGTGTGAAAAAGTATTTGTTGTTAACATTCTTTTTTCATTTGGTTTTTCCAGTTACGAGTCCTTTTTTAAATCTGATCATTTTGTTTAGTTCTTTTTTCGTAACAGATTTAATGTTTAGTATAGAGCTTAGAAAAAATTTGCAGTGTGAGATAGGCAAGAAGTAAGGCATGTCGCAACATCAGCACGGCAAAGGGCAATCCTTTAAAGGCAAGGAGGGCAAAAATATTTTAAGTCAAGTGGTAGTGATTGCTGTATGTGTCGTACGATTTTTGAATCAAGCACGGGCAATGCTGGGCCATGCTGCTAGTATATATATATATATATATATATATATATATATATATATATATATATATGTGTGTGTGTGTGTGTGTGTGTGTGTGTGTGTAATATATAAAATAAAACTATATATCAAAATAATAGAGGTCAAATAAATGACAAGATGGAGAACATTATTAGTAGCGTGTTTTATTCTGAGAGGTGTCTTCTTCCGACAAATAGTGGTTTTATTAATGGAATCACTCTTATACATCAAAAGAAAGAAAAAAAAGGTTACAAGATACAATAAAGTCAATTACAGTTTACATTGAAACATTAAAGATACAGGGTCACTTATTCTTTAAATTTAAAATTTGACATCCCATATATCTGGTGTTTAAATTAGGCTCCTTCATTTTTTTTTATCACATTTGTTTGTATTTTTATTTTGTTATCTTCCTCGTTATTTAATTATTACTTTCATTATTTACAAGTGTTTCAGCTGTTTTACCCCCTCTGCACTGACCTGAGGGCACAACGATCATATAGTTGTGATAGCAACAACTAAGATTAGGATAATAGTCTGCATGTAAATAATGTAAATTATGATAGCACCTCATCCTAGAAATTCAAATAGAAATTATTCTGCTTTATATTAGCTGTAAGGAAAGGAAATATGTTATATCATGCTGGATGTAAATTTTATTGTAGAAGATTATGAAATTAGTTGTCTTTTGATACATTTTTGCCTTAATGAATTATTTTCTCTTTTAATCAAAATCGCTTTCTTTCTGTTTCCTCCATTTTGCAGTATATTTTTGTTGTGGCCCTGTCAGGGGGAAAAAATGAACACACAGGAGAGGAACTGAGTTATACAAATATATTAACAGTAACAGTAATACAAACATATACAATCTAGAGTGTTACAGCAACAATGTTTGAAGCTGACTGCTGGAAAATTCCAACTCCAAAAGGCAGTACCTGCTCCTATTTATAGCTGGGAGAGTCCATGCATGCATGGGTAAATTACCATAACAATATGTGAGACACAACGGTCTTACTAACGGCTGCACTATGGTAAACGCCCATTACAGAACTGAAGCAATGACATTACTTGACATAGATTGATTGCATGTGTCAAGGCAGTATCTTGTAGAGCATACTT